TATTTAATAACTTAACAGAAAGTTTATGATTGCATCATAATCTAGAATACTGATTACGGACAAAACTTTTGTAACTGTGCAATATTTAACTCAATACTGTCTAATTGTGGTAAGTATTTTTTTAAGGTAATTTTCAATACCAGCATGTTGATTTTACAGTAAAGAACAAAATATCTAAACAAAAATCTTCAACTGAAAATCCCCCACATAATCTTACCAAGTCTTCATAAAGTCTCAGTCAGGTTTAGTACATTAGGAGGCACTAAAACACCTAATACCCACTAAACCCACTTATGCCTATACTCAAGAACTGTCTGTGAAGCATTAACGCGGCCCATAACCAAGTTGCAACTCGGATAAGGAACTACTGGTTGGTCGCAAAAGTTTTAACGCCTTGAAAATGTCATTGTGCTATGTTTATTTATATAAGATAATATTTTAGGGAACAACTTTATATTAGATTTATAAGTTGTTAGAACATTTTCTGGTTTAGTTAAAATTTGAAATCGACACAGATTTTAAACCAAAATAACACCTGTTTTAAAATAGCTTGAATACAAAACGAGCAAGATTTTTATAAAGAACTTTATTACTAATAACACTTTACGTACGAAAATGTACAACGGTGGACTTGTTGCCATAGGTATTTACTGACAGTCTATTCATATATTATCATATCCATCCACAGCCTTTACTAGTCCACTATTGGACATAGGCCTCTCCTTTGAAAGGAGGTTTTGGCCTACTTACTTACTTATAACTTACTTATTATTACTTACTTACTTATTATTATATATCTATCTAATATATATAAATATTTTAGACAAAGCACTAAATCTAAAATGAGGGTCATAAAATAGCTAAGCGCGTACGGTATACAACACACAAAGCGTTCAAAAACACTGTTACGTATTTCCTTGTCAGGCTTTTTTCTTATTAACTGGCACAAGTTGTAAGCGAACTGGGATAAGCATTGAGGACCTCTAGATTATAATATGTAAGGTCACTGAATAACAATACTTTAAAGTTGGTAATCCAGTGGGTAATTATTGAATGACTGTTGTGTACATTCTGTGCGAACGTGAGAACGATTATTCACATGTCAGTCCTGAAGATTAATTCTCGTAATGAAAATTCTTTCAAAGCATAGTTCCGATCTCATCTTGATGTCATAAATGTCATGAAAGGTATTCTTATAATAAAGTATGTATAAAACATTTAACGTTGACTGTAACGTGATGCTATTGTATTGTGATCAAGGGTTGAATCGGCATTCTGCTAGTCTTGGTATTACTTGACTACGAGAACCTGCTTTTTATACGATGCCTTTTTAAGGAGAGGCCTATGTCCAGCAGTGGACTTTTAAAGGCTGTTGATGATGATTGATGTGCTGTCATAAATGAGTTATCATTGCTGTCAACAAATAAACTATCTAGGTTTACTTGTTGACAGCAAGCATCACAGCTTACATGCGCTGAAAAAATTTGGTTTAAATTTAAATTTGAAAAGGTGTTAATCTCTAATCGTGGAAATTATGTAAGTTGTTTTATATCTCAAGTTAGTTAACATAAAATGGCAGAAGCTGTAGACACATATTATTTTTGTATGTACTAGATCAAAACATTATGCACATTAGTTCTTAAGACGTTATTTGTACGATACATTGTTTGTGTTCCTTAAAATAAATAAATAACTTACTTCGTCTGATCAGTTCGTTCAGATTCAGACCGTTTTATGGCATGTGTGAGATCGAATGTAGATAAGAACTGAATTTTGAACGAATTTTCATTACGAGAATCGCCTTCTCAGTTCTGCATACCAACATTAAATCTCTGTCTCTGGTCTAGTCAATATTTCCGAAACTTTAAACTTTTATCATAACTCACACCTGATACTCCGGTTATGTAGTTGTGGTTGTTGACTTATAGGTGTCCATGGAGATTACCGGTATGCAACAGGTCTTTTTAGAAAGAAAGAAAGTCTTTTTAGAATATTACATATTATAATTTTGAGTACAGTTTAAGACTCGTGGACGTTTTAAGCCTAAAAGAACATTAGCACCCAACCCGTGAATTAGTTACTGAGAGGCTCAGTGTAGGAATCAAATCATTACATACCTACTGCGTCAGAGCTAGCCAGAGAGAGGTAGTCAACAATAATGTTTTTTTTTTACTAATGATGATAGAGTAACGTAGTAGTAGTTACTACAAGTTTATACAAGTTAACTACTGTAAATACTGTTTATTGTTTACCAAACAAATGTACAGAAATAGATAACACACTCATAAAATACGCAATGGGTCACCTTATCGCAATAGGCGATATTTTTATTGAAAAAGGCGGTTATGGTGCCAATAGGTCAAACATCTTAATAGGGTTTATGCAAGTTCTTTAATACTAAAATACTCTTGTTAAATACGAGACATTTACTTCATTAAAAACTCTAAGAAAGGTAGTGTATAAACTAAAATATCAAATATCACGTCCGTAGAATCAAAAATATTATACTAAAGTAAATGGCTTTCGCTCCGCTACATCTCATTCCTTAAACAGACGCGTAAATCGTGATCAAGAACAGCGCGATAAATCCCTCCTTATGTGATAGTGTATAGGATATTCTTGCATTACATAGGCCGCTAAAATTCTTATTTATGTGGCCGCGATAAGCGACACTAGTTTCCTTATGTTTCTGACTTCCGGATTTTGTGGAGATATTATAAACAGGATTATATTTTTCAACCAAAAATAGACTCTCAAAGCTTGTCAGACAGAATTTGGTAGATATATAGTTTTCCTAATATGCTGAGGGTCATCATCGTCATCATCATCAACAGCCTTTAATAGTCCACTGCTGGACATAGGCCTCCCCTTAGAAAGGAGGTTTTGACCTACTATACCATGCTGGCCAGACGGGTTGGTATATACGGCACGGTACGGTACGATTTAGAAGAGATACACGAAGAGACTTGGCTTCGAGAGAGAGTCAAGGCTGTTTATTTTGTTGTAAATATAGAAGGCAGCTAGCATATATGTCTCCTGATCGAAGGTGACTACTGTCACCCATGAACACCTGCAACACGGAACACACAAATGCGTTGACAATCTTTGCGGTGGGATTACTTTTCTTGAAGGTTTCTAAACCTTCAACCTCTAGGTCGTGTAATCTATATTTACATGATATTCACCATCGTCATATCAAGACCGTAATATCTTAAATGTTGCCTTGTAAATTACTCTTTCATAATTTGTGATGAGTCTTTTAACACCTTAATAAATAATAATAATAAACCTCACACATCTCACACACGGCCGGAGCCTGTACTATGATAACCAGACTGCTGATAAACATACTTAAATATTTCTAAATACATACATATTATAGATAAATTACACCCAGACACAGAACAAACAATCGTGCTCATCACACAAATATTTGTCCTGGGTGGGACTCGATCCAACGACTTCCGGCGTAGCAGTCAGGGTACTAACCACTAGACTATAATGCCTCTACGGCGTCTACGGCCTTGTTGAACTATAATGCTTCATAAAAAAGAAGAAATACACTCTTAAAATATTTAATTCTTTCTATCACAGTTAATTTGACTACGATCTTAGATAGAAATGAGTATTTTCATTATCTGACTGTTTCAGTTTCAGTGGTGTTTACTATTTCTTATTTAATATTACCTAGAAAATTACTTACAGCTTCAGTAAATACCACCTAAACGCATAGTACTGTTATAAAAACTTCTCTATAACAGATAAAACGAAACTAAAGCATTCCATCAGAAGTGAGCTACAACAACTATCAAACTTGAAATGGAATTCAGCTGATTGTATGTGTGAAACTTTACCTTTCGTTCAACCTCACATTTTACTCATAAAACTCCGACAGTTTTGAAATACTTTCTTTGGTAATTTGGGTTAATACGACTCCCAGGGTGCCATTTCTTAACCTTATTTTATTGATGATAGAGGGGGGCACACGATGAGACGGAATACCTGATGGTAAGTGACAACCACCATAGACATGAGACACAGAATACGTCGCCGCTCGTTGAGTCCTTCTCCAGAATCAGATGGAGAGGATTTAGGATCCAGTGACCTCACTCATTCTGTGAAAATTAACATAAGAATGTATTTATTATGATATGTTATTACAAAATACAATGTAATAGTACGTTAATAGCTGCTGTAGTAAAAATTATGTTTTAACTATTAACGAATATGTATAAACATTACAATGCAATATTCGTTTGTTATATTACATTTTAAAGAAAAAAGAGAAATATTGAATAGAATGGCTTATTCCTGTTTTCTGTAAAACCGTGGTCTTGGTTTCTCTGGTCAAGCTGGAAGATTTGCGCCGAAGCATAGTTCTCTCACGGATGATTTTAATTTTTAACTGACTTCAAAAAGGGGAAGGTTATCAATTCGGATGTTTATATATATATTTTTATGTATGTTCGGGCATATCTCTGTCATATATGGACAGATTTTCAAAATTCCTTTTTTGTTGGAAAGGGGGTTTTTCCGAAAGAGTCGTATTAAAATTTTCAAATAGATCTAATGATGAGTTTCGGAGACAGATAACGAAAAAATGACAGTAAATCAACCGCGATTGCTAGTAGATTTGTAGTTTTGTTTTTCACCGAGTGAGGAAGATTGTCGAAGGCCTGGCCCTCCTTAATCCTGGGCAGGCTGTACGGATGGCGTAGGGGTTTAAGCGGTCACTTACTACTACGATAAGTGTTGTGGGTTCTTTCACCACATTAGACGACACTTTGTTTGATACACAACAAATTGTTTTTCTGAGTCTGGGTGTTCTGTGTGTTAGTCTCATGTATGTTTGTAAAGTCCCCCGCGACACTGGATATATTCCAATTGCGGGAGTTGTCTTTTTAAAATGAATAAAGTTTTACACTTGACATCATATCTTCAAAATATAAATAAATAAAGAAGAACATTTTTATTTGGTTCAAAACATTGTAATGAAATAATTACACTAAAATACAGCAAACAGTAGATTCTGGACAGTCAGAAGCTTCTTTAAATTCTCTCCGGCAGTTCTCCATACATTCTCCTCCTCTTTTACGGCATCTGGTTTCTTTTACTGAAACTGTAAAAGAAAAAATATTAACTTTTAAATTTTTCATTGTTACGTGGGCCTAAATTGCTACAACCAGGTTTACATCTACTCTTTATCTCATCTAATCTTTATTAGTAAAAGTGCATTTGTCTTATAAAGGTAAAATAAATAAAGAAGTTAATGGCAAAAAAAATGGGAAGAAATATGGTTTCTTCCTATTTTTTACAATTAACTTATTAAATATAAATTAAAACATAGAAAAATGTTCAAGACAAAAATGTAATAAACTTAATTTCGAAATTTTATTTTCACTAATAGATATTAAAACCTAGTAGAGGAACTACATTCCTTTTAACAATATACGTAATAAAAATAAATTCAGTATTTGAAATAAATTAAGAGACGGTAACAGAATTATAACAGAAAATGTTATTATAAAGGTTATATAAAAACTTGACTGTTTACAAAGAAAAATAACTAACATAATGCTACAAGAACATTTGAAACTTTAAAGCAACATAAAAATAACTACTTAAACTATGATCGGTTATTTCAAATCTATCTAATTATCTAGCATTTCGATTGCCTGAATTAGGATACCGCTAACCGAAACCTTAATTCGTGTGGTGACGGATTAAGAATACAGAGTGTCACCATCCCTACTCATCCCGTGGGTGTCCGAAAGGCCGACTAATTGAAAAAAAAACTACACAGAACAACAGCACTGTAGAGAGAAGGAAAACTTGACACAAACCCTATACCAACTCGTCTGGCCAGGCGTGATATACTAGGCCAAAACCTCCTTTCTAAGGATAGGCTTATGTCCAGCAGTGGACTATTAGAGGCTGTTGATGTGATGATGTGAGGTGATGTAACCGAAACAAGATAGCATATATTTTATGTTTATGCTGTGCCTTGACTACAAATATGTATCCTAAACTAGGCAGAGCCTTTTCTATGGTAACCAAACTGCTGCTAAACATACTTATATATTTTTAAATAGATAAATGTAGATAAATTACACCCAGACACAGAACAAATAACCGTGTTCATCACACAATATTTGTCCTGGGTGGGAATCGAACCCACGACTTCCTGTTTAGCAGTCAGGGTCATTAACCACTAGACCAACAGGCCCAATAGATTAGACATTATCATCATCACAAACGTAAGACGTCCACTACTAGATGTAAGCCTCCCACAAGGTTCGTGTGCTGCCCACATCCAACGGCTTTCTGCAACCTTGGCCAGGTCGTCGGACCACCATCTGATTAGACATGGCTAGTTTTAAAGATTTTTATATACCTCCGTAACAACATTCCACTCCTCGGCTTCTTTGCTTTGGACAGAGGCCACGCTCTTCGACTTGCATGTCTTTAGGACAGTCTTCAGCTATAGTGCAAGAGCCCCCTACACGGGAACAGCCTTGCTCAGGATAGATGGAATCTATGGTGCGTACTGAAAACAGAATAAATTAAATTAGAAATATAAAAAAATCCAATAAGAAAATCCGAAAAATTCAAACTGGTTTGATCTGGAAACAGTAGGCAATTTATTCCTCAACCAGTATCGTAAATTTGACAAACGTAACTGGTATCGTGGGGCCTGGGCTTATCCTAAATCAAGTTTATTATTATAAAGCAAATTAAAATATTGCGACGGGATGAAAGTTCCTAAATGAAAATAACTAAAAAAAATTGTACTGACTTCAATAAGCCTACGAGTACACCATGATAACTTATTTTGAAATAAAAATTGTATTCTGCTTTCCTTACTTTCCACCCTAAGGGGTGTAATTTTGTCATTAAACATGAATGAGACCAAAAGAGAAATATACACTTTCAAATAAAAATAAAAATAATAATAACTTCACACATCTTACACACGGCGGTCTGATCCCAAACTAGGCAGAGCCTGTACTTTGGTAACCAGACTGCTGATAAACATACTTACATTAAAAAAATATATAATAATGATAATATAATAATAATTTATTTATTTAAGTAGTTTGTACATGACATAAAGAGTTGTCTTATATACAATAGCTCATAGGACTATCTTTCCTAAACTAGGCAGGAAGCCTGTCTGTATCTTAGGAAAGAGTATCCATTTATAATGTCTTATTTCAGTTACAAAAAAATCTTACATGCAGTGGGCGAACAAAGTACCTATAATATGCTTTAAGGAATGAAATTAAAATAAAATTGTGTGTTTATGTGTGTGTTTGAGTGTGTGTGTGGGTGTAAACCTATCTCATTTTACTTTTACTCTACATTGTTAGGAACTCCTCGGTATCACCATAATTGTGTTGGCTGTAGTCATACTACTGTGATATACAGTCATATCATATCATATCATATCATATACTGTAGTCATATAGCATACACATTTAATTAAAGAAATAAAGCAAAATATCATTTATTTCTAAACAACAGCAGTCTTGCAGAAGACAGTTGGACAGTTGGAAAGCCACGCCGCCACTGAATGACAAGCTGCTTTTTGAATGAAATCATAAAATGCTGAGGATGGTTCTAATGATTTACAATTTTCTAACATTGAGGACACTGCATTCTGAGTATAACATACATGTTGGGTAAAAGACACGTTTCAAACCTTTTTGAGCCCTTGGTCGGTCGGGTTTTTAACAAAAAACACAGCAGTATTAAGAACCTCTTCCTGTGTATGAAGACGACTAAAAATAGTGGATATGCGCAATTTTTAGTAAACCTCAAAAATAAAACGCGTGAGTGTACCAGTTAAGAGTAATAATTAAGAGCAGATAATGAGACCACGCTATAGTTCGCTTCTCTCTCGAGAGAGAGAAAGAAAAAAAGACGTTAAAATGATGTAGTCTTCTTAAAATTTTTAAAGAAGAGAAATAGACACTGAAGTGTGTTGTCATGTCATAATGTACAGTTTAAATTTTATTCATGATGCAAATTAAGTATTTGCATGCATACAGGCATGATTGAACACGCTGACATGTAATTGAATATTGTAAAATCGATGCGTTTCAGCAATGATCTTTTGACCTACATTATCGGTTAATAGTGAGTTAGTTTATATTAAATAGGTCAATTATATTTGTTGTCTAAATAATATAATTAATATGTCGTTTGTGATACGTCATCGCAGCGGCTTCGCTCGCATCAAAGATAAATTAAGAGTAGCCTATGTGATATTCCAGATTACAATCTATCTGTGCCATTGGTGCTAATTCTGTTGTTCGAAAACTCTCTAAACTAAACTAAAAATCACTAAAAATTAGTTTAGTCCAGTCAACTACTACATTTTCAGAATACGAAACGTTTTTTAACAGGACTTTTACACATTTTTAGTTTAGTTTAGAGAGTTTTTGAACAACAGAATTAGCACCATTGTCATGCCAAATTAAGATTCGTTTAGCTGTTCTGCCATGATTGAGTAACAAATGTCAATTTATCATAGAATAGAAGTAAGATCCACGCGTCCTTATTAAAAGAGATTTATATAATAGAATGGAAATGGAATGGAGCTGCTAGCGATTGCTTAAGTAAAAAAACTTATTTACTGGTGAACGATAAAACTTCTTTTATTTTTGTGAATACCATCATACCATCATGTAAAGTAAACTGGGGTGAATTGGGTGCCTGTGGGCAGTTTATTAAGTTCATATGCTTGCAAAAGTGTGTTTTGCTTCAAAAACGAATACAAATCAAATTTTTAATAAACTTTTGTAAGCCATCTATTTAAATACAAAAAAACCATTCCTTTTGTGTCGGTAATCAATTGAATAAAATTACAGTTAAAATACTACACATGTTTATGGTACATCCGTTCTATTATGAGTCACAATGCTTACTAATAATATAAATGCAATAACGTGTTTATATATTTGCTACGCTTTCACACCTAAACTACTAAACCAAACGTTCTGACCGCGATATGGATAGCCTGATCAGAATATTTGGTTTCATTGGTATTCAGCTTATTTTGTGGAATCTAAACTACACTGTTTAAGTACACGCTTTTCCTCCAGTGGTAAAGAAATTGTAGACAATATCAATAAAAAAGGAAATTGACAGAACGATTCACTGACTGATCGATCAACCCAGCACGCTGGGTCTAGAAGCATGAAATTTTGCACAAAAATTCCTTAGGTGACATAGGTGTAGGATTTTTTTTAAATTCACCCCTAAGGATGCGTTCCGTGTGGTGACGGATTAAGAATACGGAATGTCACCACCCCTATTCATCCAGTGGGTATCGTACGAGCCGACTAAGGGAACAAACTGCACAGGACAACAGCACTGCAAAAAGAAGGAAAACTTGAAACAAACCCTATACCAACCCAATGATGATGATTGTACAATGTGTTTGTATTAATTGTATTTAAGTTTGTGCTTTATCATGTGTTCTCTTTGCATATTTTACCCCACAACACGCAGTATTTATTTTAATTTAACGAATTAATGCCAATGACAACATCACGTCTGCAAAAACAACCATTCCTGCTTGAACCTGTCAGCCTTTTTAACAATAGAGAAAAAATATGTCACTGAGTGTGTAGTTTTTTATTGTGGTGGTAGCTTATTAAGTGGTTGTATAAAATAATAAGCGTATATACATACTCACGTAAGGGCCACTCAACGTCAAAATATTTGTGAGATACGATAGAAAATCGTATATCTAGCTCAGAAGCGTTAACACCGAATCAGTCGTTAGGACTGTTTAATTAGATTCTAGTAAAAAAAATGATAATTTTAAGACATAAGTTACCTGACAGTAATTCCGTTACGTATTTCAGGGATTAAGTCTATGTTTATCAATAATTATTTATTTCTAGAAATATTTTACAAGAAGCAAATCTGTGTAAAAAATATTTTTTGTTCCATTTCACATTCAACAATTTCCCATAATTTGATTAGGTTACTTTGAACAAGCCTGCAGCTTGAAAGTGTGATGATATCTAACTGAACTTAATAAAAAAAAAACAGTACAAAATTATTTTTAAAACTCTAATAGTGTAGAGATTAACACGTTCAAACACATACAATTCTTTAGTTTTATTACGTTAGTATACAAACTAAATTACATTGGTTATGAAAAAGGTAAACCTTTTAAATATTACAACTATCGTTGCACTAAAATTTCAGTATGTTTATATTTTATGAAATCAAATAATATTTCATTTAGTGTACTTACAATCATCATTTACGTCTGCTAAACTACACGCCACACCAATTATAACAAAGAACGCAATCATTGATTTCATTGTTCTACAAAGTAAATTAACATACGTTTTTAACACAACCGCACTATTCACTATTCCAACACTGAATGACAACAAAAATGGATGAGATATGCAATGACTGTTTATATCGCCTCGTTAAATAAGAAGTAAGGTGTGAAATGCAGTAAAATGGATAATTATTTTTACACAGGTCGCAGAACGACTTCCGTCCTCCATAAGCGCAGGCTTGAGGGTGACAGGTGAGGCCATCTGTCACTCTAGCAGAAGAAGAAGAAGAAGCAGGCCGGAGTGGGTACTGGCGCGACCCACTACGGAGCGCGCACGCCCATCGGGGGCAGGAAGGGAACCCATACAGGAGGGGTCATAGATAAGCCGTAGATGGCCCGAGGTACATCGGGGTACCAGGGCTTTCCTTTCCTGGTTCCACGGCTATCGGTTCCTGGAGACGGCGTCTGGATTTTGGCTGGTTCGAATCCGACATAATCACCCACTGGTTGGTGGTATCCGAGAGGAGTTCCGCACAGAAAAAAAGGGTACATAAACATAAAAAGTAAGGCATCGAACTCACTGTAAGCAGTCTCGAGGTCTTCAAATAGCTTGACTCGTATGTCATAAACAGCGTTTGGATTGTCTTTAACTTCAATATAAATTAAAAAAATATATAAATTGTTTAACAAATGTTCTTTTTAGGGTTCCGTACTTCAAAAGGAAAAAACGTGACCCTTATAGGATCACTTAGTTGTCCATCTGTCTGTATGTCCGTCTGTCTGTCAAGAGTGTGTCTTCTATATCTCGAGAGTGCGTGGAGGTATCAAGTTGAAATTAAAACAATATACACAGGTCTACAGTCCCTGGAAGCTGTGAAAAAAATGAACTTTTAACTCAACGTAAAAAATAATACGGCCGTTTATGCCAAAAAAAAACACATATTTCGACACTCTCAAGGGAATCTAAATTAACAGGGTACTTTCCGTTGACCTAGAACTATGAAATTTTACAATTAACATCGTCTTATACTACAAGTACAGGTAAATCTAAAAACTATATATTTGTAATTAAATCATAAAAAAATTTAGTCTTTATTTAAAGTACGGAATCACTCATCGAGGTAATCACTCAATTTCACTTATAAAACACTAATGTTATGCACTGCTGCACATAGGTAGGTAGGTCTCTTTAGAGGTTTTGGCCTACTATACCACGCTGGTCAGTCAGGTTTGTGTCAAGATTTTCTTCTCTTTGTAGTGCTGTTGTCCTGCATAGTTTGCTGCCTTTGTCGGCTCTTACGACGGTGGTGAGATTCTGTTGACATTTTTGAAACTGAATTTAATTAAAAGCTCGGCAAAATACTCGTTTCCTGAACTACTTATAATATTTACCTACAAATGAGACCCTAAGACTTTGGCTTATTGATATAGCACATCATTTACTGATTGATATCACATTATTCTTAAAAAGAATACTATAATATCAAGGCGAATAATACTTTCGAACTATAATCTAGAGAAATAAAAAAGTTCTTTTTACTACTGTAATATTGTAATTGTATTTAAAATCATTCAAGTATATTATTCGTTTGATGTTCAATGAACTAATGATAATACGCTCAAATATAAATTAATTTAAATATAAGTTTAAAATTTAATCAATTTGTGACGATCCTTAGTTCAGTGAACTAACTTTTTTCATTTGCTAACAAATTAACAATTTAAGGGCAATTATTATGCTTGTATTTTCAATATTTGCACCCTTTTCACACCAAGAATTTCTCTGTCAAAAAACATACCACAAAACGGACTATCGAGCCAATATCCTGCAAATAAAATACTTGTACTATACAAGTATTTTATTGGCCGATGTGACGCATAAAAGTGGCCGACCTTGTAACAAATGTTCAATACCTTTTGGTCTCGTCTTGTCTAAAGACCTTCGGAATATGGCTTGAAGTTATTTACTTACTATGATATATGTTTAGACTTTACTTTAGCTTTTGCAAGCGACTGCTGCTAGCTTATGTTACTCACTGATATGTTACCATTGATAAAATAATTTTTAAAATCGGTTTAGTAGTACTCCTTTCTCAAAGGCCGACTGAGCTCAAGGCGTTCATGGGCGGCGGTACTTGCTTTCCATCAGGTGACCCGTATGCTCTTTTGCCCCTTTCTGCCATAAAAAAGTAGTTCAGGAGTGAAAGCGTAACAAATTAATAATCAAAATAAACGCAATTTCACATTTATAAAATAAGTATTATAATAATAATATAATAATAATAATCTACAACATACACACAACGCCATCTAGTCCAAACTAAGCAGAGCTTGTACTATGGGTACTAGACAACTGATATAAATACATATTTTTTTTTTGTAAATACATACATATTATACATAGTAGTATGGATAGAACAAATGTACAAAGCTAACATTTTTAAGCAATAAGTGTTATAAGGTTAAAAATTATGTCCAAAACGGCTAAATAAAACTATAAGGTTCCAGTATATATTTGCACCCGTCATGGTACAACAGTATATAAACTGGTAGTTCAAGTTTTACTGGTCGATGCAATAAGACAAGATATAAAAAAACTGGCCTATCACTAGTTCTAGTAAAGTTTTAAACTTCAAACTTAAAATAAGTTCTCAGAGTACACATGTATGACGTCATCGATGTTGCAAACTTGTAACTAAGGTAGGATAAGTACCCTGTTCGGACACGCCGCGTGTTTGTTTCCTAACTAGAATAAACCCACAATTACTTACTAACAAACAACAAGGAAACAAGAGAAGTCAATACTGAGTTACTCATTTTCAAAACATTGTTTCAATGTAGATAATTAACGCAACATTTAATTAACGCTGATGAAATCTTTCCCCAAGGATTATTTAATTATGATCTTTGAGCAAAGATGCCCGGCAATAATTCTTGGTAAAACTTTTACCTGTATTTAACTGTTTTATAATAATCACTCTGGCGCATGGCGGCGAATCTCCACCGTTTCGAATATCTTGTGTTATTTAATTAACTAGTTTAACTTAAGCTGTCATGTATACATTTTGTAGTCTTCTTCCTACTTTGTCGACTTCCACATATGGTTGTGTAACGGACTGCTATTCCAAGGGTTGCGGGTTCGATTCCCATTCAAGTCAAAAATTTGTGTTATGAACATTTAATGTTTGATTTGGTCTTAATGTTTCTATGTATAATAAGTATTATTATTACACTCCTACAGCGATGAGCAGTAATCAAGTCTCAACAAGCCAGTAACCTCAGCGACAATAGGAATACCATACGCAGCCATCGACCGCTACAGCCTGGTTAAGAATACGGCCTCTTGGTTCAGCATACTGCACCTGCGGTCCACGTGAGAAGGGCATCTCTCTCTCTAGTCTAGTGTATGTAATGGATCTATAATGTTCTTATAGACGCTTTTACGTTATTTGTAAATTAATTGACTAAAATTTTTAGCTTATATAAGTCTCCTAAAAAACTAACTATACCGTCACGCATCGCTGTGGCACATTTTGGTTGAAAAACTAGATGAAAAGACTAGAAAAGCTATGTTTGAAGCGTCTCAAAATATGAGCTCAATTATGTAATGGTAATACTAATAATAAAAAATTGTTGATATTATATGGATTATTAGGCTTGACTGATGTAACGACTGCACGGATAGCGTAGTGGTTTAAGCGGTCACATCGCCGCTTCATACTGCGCTGGATATTGTAAGTTCGATCCCCACAAGGGACAACACTTTGTGTGATCTACAAATTGTTGTTCTGAATCTGGGTGTACTTTGTGTCCGTTTAATGCATGTTCGTAAAGTCCCCCGCGGCACGGGATTTATTCCTAGTGCGGGAGTTGTCGTTTTTACCAAAAAAAACTATTGTTTTTGAAAAATGTGGGGACATCTACACGCTGCATTTTCACATGTGTATTGCCGTGTAGGAATGTATTGAAAATGTTAATTAATATAATTATTATTACAGTTGACTAGACTGGAAATAAAGACTTCCTTTTGTTTTATTATAATCAAGTACTGTTTTTACATACACTGAAGTAAATTAAATAAAACTACCCACTTAACTCAGGTCGTTAAATATATGCAACTACTCGTAGAAATGTATAATATTTCTTATGCTATGGGGGACCAACGAGCAGATGTGTCACCTGATGGTAAGCGACTATCAGTACCATGGACATCTGTAACTCAAGACTCACAAGTACATAACCATAGTTTAATGCAAGCACAAAGAGCTCTCCTAAAGGTTTGCACTTTTAAACCTTTCCGCTTTTCTACTAATGAACTATATGACCACACCGAAGTCTTAACAGTGCGACAACTGTTCATTCTCCAAGTTGTTCTTAGGCAACACACTTTGACGACTGACTATAAGTGTTCTTCTATAACATCCCTTTTTTTTTTTTTTTTTTTTTTTTAACGTGTGGAAATCCCCTCGGACCGTCACCCCACCGGGGTTTGCGGCGGGGTGGTGTGTCGGACTCGAACCGACTAAAACCACACGGTGTGCCCTCTTTGCGCTTCCAGTTTAGGAGGGGTCCAGGTAGTTATCGCCTTCTGGACCCCTCCCAGCGCCGGCCCGCTCCTGGTGCGGGCTCCGTCTTCAATTATCCTCTCTTTAGGCGACGTCCGGCACACGCGGACGCCGCCCCCTCGCGGCTGGCCAACTAATGCGGGTGGAGGGGAAACCCACCCCGTCCACCCGCGGCCACACTCAGGGCGGCATGAGGCGCAGGTAAGCGCGCCTCCGCCGCCCGGTTCGCCGGCGGCGGATCAGGTCCGAGTGGAGGTCGTCCTCCCGGGCCTTCTCCGCCACCTCCTTCTGCGAGATTACCTCCTCGCAGAAGGTTGCGACCGCGGTAAAACAACTGTCGCTACCGGCCATGGAGCGAATTACGGCCGGTAGCGAGAGATCTGCTCCGATGACTGCAGTGAGGGCCCGGCGCTGCGTCGCCCATGCGGGGCAGACCGCCAGCGTGTGCTGGGCCGAGTCCTCACTGCAG